AGCTGATCCACATGGTGCAGCAGACCTCTCCTGTCTTGCTCACAGCTCCCCTTAGCAGTGTATTTCATTTGCTCTCCCTGTTCTGTTCCCCACTGTCACTGGGGGACCCTCTCACTCCCCACACTTCTGCCCTGTACTCCAGTTCCCCAGTACACATAAATCTTTTTTTAAAAATTGCCTGAGGCATGGTCCAGGCTTGTTCCCACCAGCCCACTGAAGGCCCATCCTAGGCATTTACTCCCTGTACAGCCTGGTCAACCCCCTCTTCAAGTTCCTAAATTGCTATTGTTTCAAGTATCTGACTTGAAAACCCGATCAACTCTCTTTCTGGGACCCTAGCTAGCAACTACCAATCTCATGCAACTGAGTGCCCTAATAGCTGCCCCAGGATCCTGAGGACCAGGTAATGTGTGGGTGGTAAACAAACCCACCATATACCTGCCCATACAGGAAAGCATGCAATGAGGTCTGTCTCCGCCTTCTACGCTGAGGCTTGAAGGACCAGTCCATTTACAGGTGGGAGGAGTCAGTGACCTGCCCAAGACCTGGAAGCAGGTGAGTGTGGCCAAGGTACCTGTTACATCAGAGCTTTTCATTGTTACTTTCCCCACCAACACCTATTGAAAAACATGTGCCTCTCCTGATTAACTGCATGTCAGGTCGCAACTGGTGCCATTTTGGGCTCCCTTTCACAGAGAACTGCATGTTAGTTACTACTAGGCAGGACATCTAATGGGCAGGGACCCTCCACTGGGTCCCTCTGGGAGGCAACTGTCCCTGAATGGTAGTGTATAATTCCCCACTAGTCAGTGCTTCAGTGTTCCTAAACTGATGGTTTTCAAATACCTTACCAGCATGTCTGTGCAGTCACATAGCTGGCTCAGAAAATCTAGCCTGTGAGCAGCACAGAGGACCAAGAACAGCAGACACAATGTACCACCCATATGAGTTTCAGATACTGCAATCATTGTACACTGGAGAAGACACGAGCTGGCTGGTCATATCCCCCCCTCTTGCACAAACAGCCCATCACCTTACCCAATATCCTTTATCGTTATGTGTGGCCATGTGACTGAAGAATGGGCATGGAATGGACAGTAATGTGATTTGGGGTCTTGCCCATAAAAACTTCTTAAATGAGCTTCCATGTTCTCCAATTTCTGGATTCCTGGCATGGACCCAAACCCTAGGGGAGCCTTAAGACACATGGGTTGATGACAAAAATGCACAAGAACCAAAGGGTCTGGGTCCCCCAAGTTGATACTCGGAAGGGAGCTCCCAACAGAGTAAAACCTGCAATGCACTGCTCTGTGAGCAATAGACTTGTATCAGTTTAAGACACAGAATTTTAAGGTGTGTTTGATAAGAAATGGATGTTACCGTAACTAATATAGGCAGACTATAAAACTGAGCTTATTACATTTAAAGAAGACAAGCTTAACATTATTGGCACAGAACAGAAAGCTAAATAAGAGGTCATTTTTTTTTTAAGCACAGGTAGAATGTAGCAAATCAAAAGCTGGAAAATACTGAAAGAGTAAAAGATATAGAGGAAAAAGTGAGATCTCAGATTTTTATTAGAGTTCTAAGAGACAAAGAGGATATACACACACAATGGATCAGAGGAATTTTTTTTTAAAGATTTATTTGTGCATACAGAACTGGGGTACAGGCCAGAGGTACAGGGGCGGTGAGAGCATTCCCCAGAGACAGAGTGGGGAGCAGAACAGGCAGATCGTCGAAGTAGACTGCTGAAGGGACCGGGAAGGTGGGGATCTAACTCATGCCAAAGTGGCTGTGCTTTAACCTGCTGCGCCACCAGGGAGGGCCCCAGAGGATAGTTGTTGAGTTTACCAGAACTAAATGAAAAACCTCAATTCACATATTCAATAATTCAGAGAATTCCAAAGGAAATAAAAAGAAATTTTCATCTACATAATAGTAAAACTGCAGAAAACCAAAGCAATGAAGAAAATCTTCAAAGCAGTCACACAGGAGGCCTTCAGAGAATGGCAGTTATATGGACAGCTGAGTGTTTGACCATAACCACGAGGCCAGAGGACAATAGAATGCAGTGTCAGTGTGCTGAGAAAATAGCTGACAGCTTAGAATCTAGGCTAAGTATATGCTCCAAGAAACCACTGAAGGTGCTGTAAATCATATGAAAACATACTTTGTCAGCAGGCTTTTCCTGTGGTGCTAGTTGAAAATGCAGGTCCAAGAATGGCAGTTACCAGAGGGAAGGGAGTTGAATGTGGATGAATTTAGGTGGGACAAGTTAGTGGTGGAGGACAACTACACCTTTGGTGGTAAATATGATGTAGTATATCAAGATGTTGGAGTATAATGCTGTACACCAGAAACATGCATCACAAACCAGTTACATCAAAAAGAAATTACTTAAAGAATGTGTGGAACTTTCCTGGTGGTGCAAAGGGTTAAGTCTCAGTACTGTGAAGTTATCTGCAGCCACTGAGCAGGAGTTCGATCCCCAGGCAGGGAGCTGACCCATATGGCAGTGACTTCTCCTGTCTCACCTGCTGCTCCCCTCAGCAGGGGATTTCAGTCAATCTGCCTATTCTGCTCCCCACTCTATCTCTGGTGAATCCTCACCCTTTCCCCTCACCTCTGGTCTGCACCCCAGCTCCTATATGCATAAATAATCTTAAAAAAAAAAAAAAAAAGGCAGGCTCATGAGCCCCACTAGACCTACTGCTTCAGAAACTCAGATATAGGGTCCAGGAATCTACCCACACCAGGTGACTGGCAAGCTCACATGTGTGACTTTGCAAGAGACAGTTGCTGAAAAGGCTGACGGGACATTGGCATCAAGAGCTGTTTCCCAGCTGCAGGCACGGGAAGCCTGGATACGTGTAAGCAGGAATGTGATAATGACCAGCTAGATCACTTTGGCAGCCAGAGGGAAACCAACTGGAAGGAGGGAAGAATGATGGAATGAGCTCCATTAAGAAGTGGCTGCAGAGGCAGTGGATCTTGAGAGGCAGTGGATGCAGTTGTGTTGTGATGTCCTGTGCGCAGTCCTGTCTTACCCAGTGCAGTTTAATCAGATGGTAGTGAATGTACAGCCCCTGGGATCAGATAAAAATCTCAGTAAGAGTCCCAAAGTGGGGTGTGAGGCTGGTGTATGGAGGCAGGGTGAAATCACTTGGAGGAAGCAGGCAGAATAGGAAGAGAACAGGCAATCCCACAAACCCAGGCCCCACAACAGCAAGTGAGCGTGCTGACCACGCCCTTGGCGAAGGACACATTGCTGAATATTTTACTCCTGTCTCAGTTCTCACCAGCAAAATGAGGTTTATTCCCATTTTACTGATAAGGCCACTAGGATGAAAAGATTATTTATCCAAGGGCAGAAGGTGGTAGTCAGCCATTTGGTGGGATAGCTGCCCTCAGTGATAGTGAGGTAAGAGTCCACAAGGCCTTTGCCATGAATGCCAAGTTCTGCTGACACCTCACCAGCTGCATTCCACAGAGCAGTCTAGCAGGGCATCCTGCTCACTCTTCAACCACAAGTTTCCCTGACATGGGAAAGGCAACAGGTTTTCCAGAGGCTGTGGGGCTTTCACATCTCAACCTGACCTGAAAACTGGAGCTAATAGGATTTGGTCAAATGCTTTTCCTGCATCTACTAATGTGACTGATTTTCTCCTTTATCCTGCTGATGTGATGTACTACATTGATTTTCAAATGTTAAACCAGACTTGCATACCTGATAATTCCCACTTGATCCTGGTCTATGATCCCTTTCAAACATTGTCAGATTCAATTTGCTATTTTGTTGAAGATTTGTGCAGCTATATTCATGGGATATTGTTCTGCAGGTCTTTTCTTAGAATGTCTGGTTTTATTAGGGAACCATTGGGCTTACAGAGTTAGAAGTACTGCCTGTGTTTCTGTCTTTTGGAAGAGATTGTGTTGAATGGGAATCATTTCTTCATTGAGTGTTTCATAGAATTCACTTCTGTAAGATTATTATGGATTCAATTTACTTAGTGGAAATAAGTCTATTCAAATAGTCTATCTCTTCTAGTGCAAGTTTTGGCAGACTTTTAAGGAACTGGTCCATTTTGTCAGGTTATCAAATGTCCCAGTGTAAGTTACTCAGTTTTCCTTTATTATCTTTTGGATGTCTGGGATCTGATGTCCCATCCTTTGTTTGAGAGTAACAATTTGAGTCCTTTTTTTTTTCTTAGCCTGGCTAGAGAATTATCAGCTTTTGATTTACATGATTTTCTCCACTGATTTTCCTGGTTTTAAGATCACTGTTTCATTGTCCTTTTCTTCTTACTTTGAATTTAATTTGTTCTTCTTTTTCTAGATTTCTAAGGTGTAGATGTTTCTTTTTTTCCTAATATATGTATTCAGTGCTGTAAATTTGCTACTATGCTCTGCTTCTGCTCTTTCACACAAATTTTGTTCCATTTCCCTGTACTTAAAAATATTTTAACATTTCTCTTGAGGTTTCTTCTTTGGTCACACCAGATGCTTTAGAATTCTAGAACACTTACCTCTGGGAAGCAAATAGCAAAATCCCCATTTGCAATGAGCAAAAAAGTTCTAAGAAGAAGCAGTGTACCCAGGTCACAGGGCCTGGAAATGGAAGCGCTGGAACTGATGCTTCTGGGAACTGGCCTGAGCTCAAGTTCTCCTGACACTGCCTGGTCAGTGGGAGGGTAGGCCTTGAACTGCCCGGGGAGATCCTGGCGATTCAGAGGCTGGACTCCCTGGTCTTGATTGGACCTGGAACCATTATCTTGAGGGGCCAGTCTAAGGCCAGACACTTTCCAGTCAGCGACCTACTTTCTGACCTGTGGGTGTTCCTGGGGCACAATGGAGTCCAAGTGGAAACCTCACACCCTCCATGTCCACAAAGCACAAGCCTGTCCTGCAGAAGAATCCTTCCTCAGATATTCCTTTAAGCTCCACCACACCTGGGATCTACAGGTGAGCACTTCCAAAACACAGTGCTGACTCAGTAGCACTGTCAAAGACCATTTATTTTGAGTAGAAAATAAGCCATGTCTTTAAAAATACATCACAATGTGGAATTCTTTGACCTTCTGGTCTTTCCTGGTCCCAGTTTTCCTGGAGGGTTCCCTATGCAGCCAGGCCAGCTGGAGCTCTCAGGATAACTAGGGCCTAAGGCAAGGATATGGTACAGTGGGTAGGCTGGGAAGTAGTCCCCAGGTCACCTCAGTAGCAATCAGCCTCATTATCCCCCAGGATGCCTGCAGTGGCCAGCATGTCCTGCAGCAGTGACTGAGGACTCTTCTCCACGTGGTCACTACTCTCTGCCAGTGCTCCCCTAAGGCCCTCCAGGTCCAGAGATCTCAGCACAGCAAGCACAGCTTTAGGCTCCAGGTCCTCCAGGGACTGGCCCTGCTCACCTGCCCGCCATCTCTGCAGAGCAGCCTCCACAGCAGCTGTGTCAGGGTTGCTCCCCACCTCCTGCGGGGCATCACTGGGAGTAGTCTTGGCCCTCAGAAAAAGGAGGAGGTCACAAGACTTCTGGGCCACAGGTCGGTCACAGTCAAACAAGGCACGAAACGCAAACTCAAAGAGCCGCACTCGGCAGAGAGACTGTAGGGCCTGGGTCTGTGGGCCGGATGGGCCCACCTTGGGAAGGGTCGCAATATAGGGACAATGGACGTCAGGCTGGCCAAGCATCTGCACCAGGAACACCAGTGCCAGCTCTAGGCCCTGTGCCCGGACCTCCCAATCCAGGTCCTGGCTTGCCACCTGGAGCACTCTGGTCACAAACTGTTCCAGGTCAGTGGCCACATCAGCATGGCCGTCCCTCAGCCACTCAGTGAAGACCTGCATGGCAGCCCGGCGAGGGAAGCCCTCTGAGTCAGTGGAGAGGATGTGCAGAAGCTCCGTGAGCAGTCCTGTCTAGAAGACAGAGCACAGGGATGAGAGGGGACTGGGAGGGTCTTATGCCAAGACACATTACTGCAGAGGGAACCCCATACAGCAAGGACCAGGCTAACTTGGCTTCGCTACCACTTAGCGATCTGTGAAACAGGGTTGACCATATCCAAATGAGGGGGTGATAGGAGTGCTGGGAGGCTAAGCAAAAGAACACAGGGGAAGGAGAGCCCTGGGCTCAGCCCATCCACAACAGCAGACCCACTCCACCCCAGGTATCAGTCACACAGAGTTATGTATGTGCTGGCTCCTACCTCCTGGCCCCTTGGGTGCTCAGAGCTGGTGGGAGTGGTATACAACCCCCAACTAGAGAGCTGCCCCATGGTGGTCACTGCACTCGCACGGACGTAGCTTTCAGGGTCTCTCAGGAGCTGCTTGGCAAGTCTGGGCACTTCCGAGTCGAGGAGCACATGTCTGAAGTCAGCTTGCCCTGGGGATCAAGTGGCCACAACCAGCTGTGACCAAGGACTGAGCCTGCAGCCTCCCCTCCCCCATCCCCCTGAAGGTTACCAGGGTATGCCCAGCTCCCAAAGCCAACAGGAAGTGATCAAGTGTGCTAAGGCCTGGCAAAACTGCCAGGCTGCCTTCCATGCCCCTCACTCACCTCCCCAGCGTCTGGATATCTGGGTCAGGAACTCCAGGCTCGAGTCCCTCACCTCCCAGCAAGGGCTGCAGAGGCGCTTCTGGAGCACAGGAAGCAGTTCTGGGGCAGGAGGGGTTGCTCAGAGAGACCCAGGTCTTCCCATCCAGCCTCCAGGTGCCTCCACCCTTGTAGCTCCCACAGTTTACCCCAGGAACAGCAGGGTTACCTCTGAGAAACAGCTGGATAGGAGGGTCTAGATCACAACTGCTAGGGGTTGTGGGTGAGCTCAGGAGCCACCCCAGTGTGGCCTGGAAGGTCTTCTTCAGAACCTGAAGTAGGCAGAGCAGAGATGAGGGCTATGAGGGGCATTAGGCGGTAGTGAGCTGAACAACCTGCCCTGGTCAGCTCCCATCAGACCCTGCCCACTTCCTGTATGTCCCTGCCCCTGTCCTGGGGCACAGCATGGGGATAGGGTGCAGGAAAAGGAACAGTTGCCTTTGACTTTATGAGGCATAAGCATCTGGCATCCGAAAAACTGACATTCCAAACTGGGGATATGAGATTTCTACAAGATTTTTAAAGAAAGTTTTTTCTTAAAGCTTTAGGATCCACCAAGCCTTTCAGCCAAATTTCCCACTGTCTACTCGGTAGCGTGAGCATCAAAACTGCACCCAGCAAAGCCTTTTAGTGGGGCATAAATGCAGGGGTGTTTTTGCAGACGTTAAAAGTCTGGGCCCACAACTGAGATGGAAAAAGGCACAAAATGATGTAAAAATAAACTATTATATTAAAAAATAAAATTAAATAAAAATTCAAAAGGATTTGTTAAGAAAAAAAAAGCTTGGGCCCAAAGCCCAGGACCATGCTGGCTCCAGTTAGAATTCCCTGCTTCCACAATCCAGCACACCCTGGTATTCAATTTTCACTGACATGGGGCCCTAGCAAGCCCTAGGCAGCCACCTGACTTTCCAGACCCACTTCGCAAAGCAATCCACATAAGCCCTGTAAGGGCTCCCCATCTCTGCTCCCCTTCTCTTCCCCCATCCCCCTTGCACCCATGCCTGTACCGTGGGGCTAGAGTCAGGGCTCTGGAGATATTCCAGGAGAATGGCAAACACCTGCATCACCAACTCTGGGGGGCCTGTGAGAGATGCAGATGAATGAGAAACCCCAGTCCCTCACCCCTGGCCTCCCCAGCACAGGAGGAAACATGTCAACCCAAAGAGAGCAGAGGAAGGATGCCTCTGACATGGAGTCCCACCCTGCCCAGGGACGAATGCAAGAGTCCCATGTGACTCTCAGCAGAAGGCTCAGGCATGACACCCAAGTTGTGCAAAGATGTTCTTGCTCACCTGTCCCCTGAGACAGAGTCCCCAAAAAGTCCAGGGCTGCTCGCTGGACCCGGACACAGCCCACCAGGATGCCACAAAGGCGGCCCCCCACATCAGAGGTGGGGGCTGCTGAGCCATTGCAGAACCTCAGTATTGTCACCACTGCTCCAAGGAGAGGTGCCTGGGGCCAAGGCGAAGGACACTGAGGCTGGGGAAGAAAGGTTGGTCAGCGCAGGCCAAAGGTCTCCTTCCAGGTCTGCTGCCCCATGCTTCACTCCCCCTTTCAATCTTTCCCTCTATCTAAATAGCAGGAGGCCTTAGAGCTAGGCCTGAGTCAATGCCTAGTCCCACTAAGGAGTTGGTCCTGGAGCCACTTTACCCATGGTCTGAACTGACATGAGCAGCCAGGGCCACACCTACCAGTTGCTGTAGCACCTCCAGGTGGGCCAGAGTCCGGCACAGGAGACCCACATAGGCTGACTTGGAGGACAGGAGCACATCCATTGTCACTGAGTCACCCTCAGTCCCATCCAGCAAAGCTAGAGGCCAAACCAGAAACAACTCCCAGTGAGCGGGCATTCCCTATATGGCTGCAACAGGTCTTCCCACCCCCAGGCCAGCACCCCACGACAGAGACCAGTATGCTAAAAGGTGGACTCCAAGACTCAGAGTGGGTGGCTTAAGCAAGGTGACAGGATCTGAACCTATCTGCAGGGCTTTCTAGCATCAGTGCCAGATTATGCATCTGTCCTGGGTCAGAAAGCACCAGCTACCTGAGTCTGAGGTAGGGGTGAATGGCCGTTGCTCTGGGGCCAGTCCAGATAATGCCCACTGGTGATGGCATTGTCCCATTGATGCTGGGGTAGGGGCATAAAGGGAAAAATCACACTTGGGATAATGCCCTGGACACCTTCACTCTTATTAGAGGACAAGCCTGTACTCTGCTACCCCAAGCCACAGGATGTGCTCAGACCCTAGGATCGTGCCCTCCTACACCTGCCCAGTCTTCCCAAATTGTGTACCTGGGAGCCCAGGAGCCTGAGCTGTGGCTGTCAGGACACAGGCAAGGGGCTGGAGGAGAACATCAAAAGCTTGGGCCTTCAGTGCCTGTTGGCTGCAGACAGAGAACACAGTGAACACACCCTCGTACTGAGGCTCACTGGACCCCATTAATGGCCCTAGCAAGTCTGAAGCCAAGGGCCTGGTGCTGGGGATCTGGACACCCGGTGGAGAAACAACTTCCCTGCTGTCACCCAGACTGTGGACTCAGGTGTAGACTCCATGGGGACTGCTAGAAAGCATCTCCCAGGCCCCAAGGAATGAAAGGCCTAGCCACACCCAACCCAGTGAGCACTGACCATAGGCACTGGGGTCCCCTCCTTCCAGGAACATTCTAGTGGTTCATCTGCTGTTCAGTTGAGATGCTCTTTTCTTTTTTTGTTAAAGATGTATTTATGCGTACAGAACTGGGGTACAGGCCAAAGGTGCAAGGGCGGTGAGAGTTCTCACCAGAGACAGAGTGGGGAGCAGAATAAGCAGATCAATGAAGCACACTGCTGAGGGGAGCAATGGGTGGGTCAGGAGATGTCTGCTACATCATGTGGGTCAACTCCCTGGCCAGGGATCAAACTTGTGCAGTGACTGCAGATGCAGACAGCTTCACAGTGCTGTGCTTCAACACACTGCACCACGAGGGAGGGCCCTGAGATGCCCTTTTCAGGGCCCTCCCTCATGGTGCAGTAGGTTGAAGCACTTATCTCAAGTGCATGGACTGGGACAGGGTAGGAGATGATGCTAGCACAGAGCTCTCCATCCAGGCTAGTCATTCATCCATCATTCTCCCTTTGGACTGCTCCTTCTCTGGACACTAAGAGACCCTGGAGCCCAGAGAGGGGCTTATGTGCCTCCCTCTTTTTTTCCCTCCCTCCCAGGAAGCTGTCCAGAGTGTCCCTGCTTACAAGCCCCTCCCCTACCCATATCAAATAGACCCTAACACCCACCCTGGTGTATGCACAGACCAGAATTCAGCTGTGGTTGCTAAGAGAGCAATGATAAAAGTCTTGTTTTTCTCTGGGAAGCCTATATAGCTTTTGTTAGAATAAAGTATATCATAAAGAGGGTACAGAGCCTGGGGGGAGGGGCCTGGTGGCTCAATGGGTTAAAGCGCAGCACTGCAAAGCTAGCCACAGGCGCTTAGCAAGAGTTCAATCCCCTGACAGGGAGCTGACCCACATGGCGCAGCAGACCTTTCCTGGCTCGCCCACTGCTCCCCTCAGCTGTGTACTTTGTCAACCTACCAGCTGTGTTCCCCACTCTGACTCTGGTGAATCTTCTCACCACTCCTGCACCTCTGGCCTGTACCCCAGTTCTGAATACATAAATAAATCTTAAAAAAGAGAGAGAGGGGGCCCTCCCTGGTGGTGCAGCGGGTTAAAGCACAGCACTGAAAAGCTAAAGCCACTTCCGTATGAGTTCGATCCCTGCCTGCCCCGGAGGTGACCACATAGTGTGGCAGACCTCTCCTGACCCGCTCATTGCTCCCCTCAGCAGTGTACTTCGTCAATCTGCCTGTTCTGCTCCCCACTCTATGGTGAAGCCTCTCGCTGCCCCTGAGCCTCTGGCCTGTACTCCAGTTCTGTATGCACAAATAAATCTTTAAACAAAAAAAGAGGGGAGGGACCTCCCTGGGGACATAGCGGGTTAAAGCACAGCACTAAGAAGCTAAAGCCATTTTAGCATGAGTTCGATCGCCACCCCAGAGGTGACCACATGGCGTGGCAGACCTCTCCTGACTGCTGTTCCACTGCTCCCCTCAGCAGTGTACTTTGTTAACCTGCCTGTTCTGCTCCCCACTCTGTCTCTGGTGAATCCTCTTACCGCCCCTGCACCTATGGCCTATACCCCAGTTCTGAATGCATAAAAATAAATCTTAAAAAAAGAGCGAGCACAGAAGCCACAGCCTATTACAGTGTCTTAGTGATGTCATGCTCTGCCTCTGACTGTTGTCTGGTCTCCGAAGCTTCTTGGGAAGTTCCCTGATTATGGTAGCCATATGGAGACCTTTTTAACTGCACCTGCACAAAGTAAAGCCCAATCCTTACCAGTCCTGCAGTTTCAGGATGCCCAAAGCCAAAGGCCCTGAATGTGTGGGGTTCAGGTGGCTCAGTGTCTGTGACAGTGTCTCCCATAGGCCACAGTCTGATGAACTCAACACAGAAGAACTGCAGAAGAGATGCAGAAAGAGAACATTATTCCTCTACCCATGCCAAAGTCCTTAGGGTGCCCGGGAGGGCTACAAGGCCTGAGGCTGGTGTGCCCAGCTAAGACAGAGGGTCTTTCCTAAGTCTGTGGGTTTTTAAGAAGCCTCTGGGTTTTCTCTACTCAAGGTTATCAGAGCCAAAGAGAAACAGTCCCTATGTAACAGCTTAAGGCTTCCTGAGAAAAACAAGCATGCCAGTTCTTGCCTGTTCCCAACTGCACCCCCACTCCCATGTGCCACCAGTTGTGTCCCAGGGACCTGACCGGGCCACACTGAGGAGAAGGTCCACCAGCGAGTGTGCAGCCGGGACAGGGTCTTTTTCAAGCAGACAGGTCACCAGGGGACTCAGCTGCACCCAAAGGACTTCGGCCCAAGGGCTGTGGCAGTGCCCAAAAGTGGTAGTCAGGACATTCAGGGCCTGCGTGATCCTTGGAGCCGCCATCGAGCGCAAGGACTCCTCAATGTGACCCACGATCTTCTGGGCACACGGCGGCCAGCCGGCAGTCTGCGGGCTAGGACGCTCCCCAGGTAGGCTGTCCATCGACAGAGCCAGGATATGCACCAGGAGCTGGCTGGCTGCTGAGGCCACAAACAGGCTGGGGTCTCCCTGAAGGGAGAAGATGGTATCAACAGCACCTTGGGGAAGGGGGGTAAGGGTGGAGAAGACAGGAGTCAGAGGAACAGTCTACATCCCTCAGAGACTTGTCACCAGACACAGGAAAAGACTTAAAAAAAAATAGCACATTTAGGAAGCCCTATTCCCTCCCTCCCCTAGGCTCAGAGTTGAGGAGTCAGAAAAAAGGCTTCCAAAGGCACCTGGCACATCTCCTCCCACTTTAAACCATGGTGGTTTTGATTCTTTCTGATTAGTTTCAAAGCCTCCCAGAGGCCTGACCTGACCACCATACAAATCATAGGTGTGACCCTCAAGAGGCCTTTGCTCTTCCTGGTGTGATGCATGTGTTCCTTACAACAGTCTTGTGATACCAGTCATTTCCACAGGGGAGATGAAGCCCAGCAAGGTACAGTGATTTCCCTGCAGTCACACAACAGTAAGCGTGACAAGGCCACAGGCTGAAAGCAGGCAGACACTCACCACAGTTGGCCAGGAAATGTAGGGCACTGGGGTGCTGAGCCAGGGAGCGCAGGCCCTGGATCCAGCCACTGCGCACACCAGGGGATGTCCAGGCAGCTTGGCTAAGGGGGCCTGCCTCCCCAAAAAGTCCAGGCAGCAACTCCCCCTGCTGGGAAGCAGAGAAGAAGCGATTACCTGGGCATGTTCCCAGGGACAGGCAGCACAGATGACTTTCCTGTTATTCAGGGCTGGCAGAGACATTTCTCTGGGGAACTTTCTCACAAACTGCTACTACAATGTGCTAGTGAGAAGGCGTGCTTGGGAGATGACAGGTAGATCCCTGCAGTCAGTGGCAGCCATGGCTGTTCACTCTGCCTCCCAGGGGGAGTATTCCAGAAGAAGAGCTGGGTTTAAATAAAACTTCAGGAATCCCCCCAACAGCATTACCACTTTACCTCCAAGGCCTACCTATGATGATGTCAGTAGTTCAAGGACCCCAACCTCTCCATAAATTGCTTGACTCCAAAGCTTAGCATATGGGTCTTCCAGGGTACCCACCCTCCTTCAGGGGAGGTTCTGTCCTATCTGTCCTCAGTTGTCCAAACTCTACAATCCAACTCCAAATCTACACCCCATGAAGTTGAATGCCACTCAGTCCCCAACAGTTTATGAATGTCATGGTACCATTGCACATTTCTCACATCTCTTACCACATGTACAAGGTTCCTGTTGGCCACTATATTTCAGCACAGTGGAACACACTGTGAACACAGCAGCACACTGGTGCTGCCTATTATTAAAACACACTCATGGGTGTAGTTATTCACTCTGAGCTTTACTTGTCTTGAGTCTAACAATGGAGGTCAGAGCCTTGCCCAATCTAAGCCACTGGGCATCTTGTTCAGCTACAGCCCACCTTCAAGGGATAAAACCCTCTACTCATATTGGACTCTAGAATAAAGGACCCTGGGATCACAAAGACACACTTTCAATCACTCAAGGAAGAGAGTCTAACTCTACAGAGATTCTGAGGCCCTAAGAGGTGGTTGCTGCCTTCAGCTCATTGGGGAGGCCCTCTGTTGAATCTGCTAAAGAGGCCCCCTATGCCCCGCCAAAGTTATAGACAGTTCACAATGGGAGGGTACAAAGGCTCAGCCTTGAGCAGACTGTCTGTATGGCCTGGATCTTGTTAATCTTCATAACCACCAAGTCCAAACAAGACAGATATGATTCTTATCTCTGTTATAGGGAGGAATCAAGGGCTTAGGAGGCTTGTGACCTTGGGCAAGATCATCTAGCAGATGAGTGACAAAGCATCAACCCCAGGCCTGTCTTAATCCAAAATGCTCACCCCTTTGCCCCAACATCACTCTTGGTGAGTTTTCAAAGGGAGGGTTATATTCAGGCATAAAATCTTGCAGTACAAGCCACATTTCAAAGTCTCAGGAGTTGTGACAGCCAACACCACTTATGCACCTACAGGAAAAGCAGCAGCCTCCTCTTGGTGGGTCACTCAGGGCAGCGACCAGGCTCACCTGAAGATACTGGAAGCAGTTTTCTTGGGCTGCAAACACCCCTGCGAGGCGGAGTGAGAAGGAGAGGACTCTTGAGTTAAGGTCCAGGGGTTTCAGCATATGGAACAGCAGCTCTACCAGGCAAGGATTCTCCTGTAGTAACAAGAGACTGGACCCTGGAGATGGTCCAGTGGGGAGCATGTCACTTGGGCACAGTACTACGTGTCCCCCTAAAGGACTGCTCTTCTAACAATTCCCAGGTCCCTCTGCACTCAAGCAGTGAGATTTAGCATTCTCATTCTCATTTCCCCTTGCAGCAAAGGATTCATAACTTCAATTCAATGAGGGGGACAAACAAGAAAACAACCTCAACAATGGGGAATGGACATAGACAAGAAATACAAATGGCCACAAGCCTGAAAAAAATATTCTGCTAGTTGATTATGTAAAAGAAATCCAAATTTCTACCTTTACCTCTCGAATGGATCCTTTTATCTTAAACTGAGAAAATTGGATACAAAGAATTATGATGGAGTGGGGATTTGTTTCTAGTGCTGGCATCCAAAACTTCTACACCCAACTACACTGTTGTTCTAAAGCACTCACTAGGAAGAAAGACAATTTGAAGCAAAGGTGGGAAGAGCCCTTGCTGAAACAACTACTAAAGACTATCAGCAAGAATGAAAATGAGCAAAGAACAGAGAAGAAGCAGAGAGACCAGTAAGTGTGAGTAAATTTAATACAGCACTAACTTTACCAACTTCACCAATTAAAAATAACTTTTGGCCCTCCCTGGTGGCGCAGCGGGTTAAAGCACAGCACTAAGAATCTAAAGCCGCTTCCGCATGAGTTCGATTCCCGCCTGTCCCGGAGG